TTGATTGCAGGACCTGACATACGCCGTTGCTATTTTGTATAATTGCGGGAAATATACCGCCTCGCGTACCCTTTTTATAGTCTTTCTGACCCCGAGGTGGCCCGCTGTTTTTTTTTCGTGCAACTCCCTCAAAATGCTTAATCGAAGCGAAGCTGGGATGACTGGCTTATACTCAAGATTTTCGTTCGTTGTTTTCGTATAGAATAATAAATTATCTATTATTTCATAGTTTTTTGCTCTATTTTCTTATCGCATCGATATCTGCATGTATGCTCAAAGCCTTCGGGGTCTTTCAAATAAGCATAGATATTTCCAAATTCAGGATCAGCTTTCAGTTCAGTAATAACCGTATCTCTAGAATCTAAAATTTTTGAAGTCAACACAGCGCATTTAAGTTCATTACCTTCCTCGTCCAGTTTTATACGAGAAAGTGCGTCAGCTACATTGTTTTCCTTACCCGGTTTATATTTTATTATATTCTTGGAGTTTTAAAGCCCACCTTATTAACCTGGGCGTTAGGTTTTTTCCCGAGTAAAGTCTACCAACAGCCGCATGATCCGAAAAGACAGTTACTGGCGATTTGCCGAAATAAACTCGAAATTTGTGTACAGCCATTAATACGGCTAATGTTTCTCTTTCTGTAGCTGTATAATTCCTTTGTGTTTGATTCAATGTTTTACTAAAAAATGCCAGCGGATGGTTATTTTTGCATAAGAACCGAGCCCACCGCATAGTCTGATGCATCTGCCGCAATTTCCAGGTTTTCGTCCCCCTCAGGGAATTTTAAAACAGGGGCATTAATAAGCGCTTCTTTTAATCTTTCAAAAGCCGTGTTAGCTTCCGCTGTCCCCCACGTAATTTACTTTCTTTTTTTTGATTACTAAGAGTGGTTCAACAATATTAGCGAAAATCTTTATGAAAGATCGATAGTAAGAACATAGTCCAAGGAAAGACGAAAGTTTCTTGGCGGTGTTGGGCGGTGGGAAATTCTTAATAGCTTTTATTTTTGAATCTTGCGTTTCTATACCCTTTTGCGAAATTTTATAACCGAGATATTTAAGTTCTTTAGTTGCGAACTTGCATTTTGAGGCGTTAATTGTAAGACCGGCCTCTTTTAATAATTTAAAAACTTGTTCGAGATCACTAATGTGTTGTTCCAACGTACTACTCGTTATAATTATATCATCTAGATAAATTAAAGTTGATTTTCCTAGGACAGGCTTTAGAACAATGTCCAGCATAGCTCTGGAATGTTGACGGGGCCCCACACAACCCAAAAGGCATGCGTAAAAATGCATAAGTGCCCGATTTTGTTATAAACGCGGTTTTATGTATATCTTCGGGTGTCATAGCTATTTGATAGTAGCCAGACGTTAAGTCCAAAGTAGACATATATCTAGTCGATTTGATCTGTCTAATGATCTCGTCTATAACCGGCAAAGGGTAAACTGGGAATTTAGTTATGCTATTTAGTTTTCTATAATCGATAGCAAACCTCCAAGCCCTTTTATCCGAAGGAGGAAACTCGTTCTTTTTCCTACATAGTACGACTGGACTCGCGTATTCACTATTTATGGGCGTTATTATTTTATTCTTTAACATCTCCTGAATATGTTCTTCGATGATTACGTCTTTTTGTTTGTCATAGCGGTAAGGTTTAGTCCTACAAGGTTTTTCGGCATTTAATTGAATCTTGTGAGTTACAATCTGACAGTTTCCCCGGCTTTTCTGAAAACAAATGAGAAAAATTACTCACCACTTGCTGTATTGCTTTACTTTCCTGGTCATTCAAATGGCTAAGGTCCAATTCAGGTGTCTCCACCGGTTCCACCACCCTCTGGTCCATCTCCAGCACCACGGAACTATCTTGAAAATTTAATTTGGCCCTCGCGGCCCTTAAAAAGTCCATACCTAAAATAAGAGAGTGTTGGAGGTGTTTCACCACAAAAATTAATACTTTGAGATTTTCCTCTTTACCTGTACGTTTAATGATACTTTCCCGATGCAGTGACATGTTTTTCCTTGCGCCGCTATAATTTCCGTATTTCTGGTTTTAAAGAGTCGTATCCTATAAAAATTCTTTTTGAAGAACTTTTCACTCATGAAATTGCCTTCTGCCCCTGTATCGATGAGGGCTTCTACTGGTACACATCGCCAACCAGGACTTGTATAATTGGTAGCTGCTGTGAGTTTTTTACGATGACTGTATTTAGATGTCTATTTGAGGGTTTTTCTAAAACTTCCGGGGTCTGGACCCTCCCTTTCACAGGCCCCCCTCTAGTCGTTTAAAGCTTTCCTTTCAATCTGTGTCTTCTGGGTACGCGGATGCTTATTTTCAAATTTTCTTTTTGGGCCTTGCCCTTCAAGTTTCGATGCGTTTAGCTTGATAGTTCTTTCCCCCATATGAGCGATTTCCATTTCTTGTTTCCTCCTTCCTTCTGGTACTTTGAGAATTGTTTCCCCTCTCGCTCTTTCCGCGATTCTGCGATTTTGAAACTTCACCGCCAATTCGAAAAGTTCCTGCAATGTGGTTGGGTTTCTAATTTCAAAGTAGTCTTGGACAGCGGGTAACAATCTTGGTAATATTATTTCAATAATCTCCGCATCGGTTTTTTTCCCATACAACATATCCGTTAGCTTGATTTTTCGTAAAATAAAGTCCGTCAATTGTGCTGTATCCCGTTGATAGAAACTATATAGCTCGGCTTCCAGCCGTGCGCGATCTTTCACTATGGGGAAGGCCTTTACTAACGATTTTTTGAAATTTTCAAAAGTATACGTCGGGCTTCCAAATTCACCTAGAAGATATTTGCCTATATTTTTCCACCATAGCGCGGCCTGTCCTCTTAGTGCTGATGTGGCGATAGCAACTTTTTGTCTTTCGGGCACAGGGTAGAGCTGAAAGTGGTTTTCTATACCTTCTAAAAATACGGACACCGAATTTTTTCCGTCGAAATAGACGTTTGGCTTGATTGATGCTCTCAGAGTCTGGACCAGGTATCCAAATCCTTCTAACTGCGTTGTCATTTCTTGGTGTTGTCCAGCGGCTTCCATCCAGTTTTCGGCCATTTCAGTTCGATAAGTGTCCGGCGCCAAAATAACGTTGCGCGCCTCTAACTAGCACGCAACCAAGAGGTGACTGTGAAAGCTTGTATAAACCACAGAGTCTTATAAAGGGTTTAAGTCCCTTTTTATTCAACGTACTAATTTACAATTGCGTTCTCTTGACGCTTACAAACGGTGCCAACTCGGCAGTCAAAATAAAAATAAAAACCTGAAAAGAAATTAAAGACAATATTCTAACTACGAGGCTCTCTCAAATAACTAACTCACCGCGTTTTACAATACGGCTGCTAATTCAGCAGACTTGAAGCTCACTGGAACAATTGCAACTACTTCCCGCCAAGCACATAGGCCGCAACGCGGGGTTTTCAAATCTCTATAACTACCTCCGCGCTCGCTAAGTAAGAATAACTCTCTCTCACCGAACTTGTTTCCTTCTATTTAAATCATACTACTTCCGCTGATAATTTGAATGCTTGCGCGTTCTACTCAAATTTACATATTCTGGCATTGGCAGTTCCAGGGGAAAGTAAGGATTGACAGGAAAGATAGTTTAAACTTAAAATAAATGTTAGTTAAAATAAATATAAACCCTACAATTTAACACTTTAATTACCAATTCCTGTTTAATTAATTACATATTCCAATTTTTAATTCCAACAACAGTACACACTTACTACTTAAATTTTACTTCACATTTCCTAGGAGATAATTTTTTATTTATATATTCTTTCTCTCTATATATATACATATAAATATATGCTGTAGTGTCATTGGGGTTTTTGAAGGAGAAGACATGAAAAATGTGCGATGCCTTTGCTAGGACTCGAACCCTGGACCTCTCGAATGTGCGTCGAGTATGCTTCCAATTACACCACGAAGGTATGCGGAAGAAAGGAAGAAAATACCTTATAATGCATATATAGATATTAGCTATTTTAAGTTTAATTGTACATTTGCCTAACTAGGCTTTTTTGTATAGCTTTTTCTTGTTTAATAGTAAGTTTTACATTTACAATTTTAATTTACGGCGCGTCGGGAAAAGAAGCGATATAATTGAGACTTACTAAACTTTTAGATTATTCTATTAGTGAAATTACGTTTATAGTCTCAATTATTATCGTTTGACGAAACGCGCTATAGGTATTAAACTGGTTCGAGTTTTGAGCTGCTTTTCCCTTGATAAATCCGGCTCAAACCTCGAGTCGAGCTACTTACCATTTATTGCAATTTTTTGTACATATTTACTGTGTATTTGAAATGTATTTAAATTTTATACGAGTTCTTTTTAAAATTATTTTTGCGTTAAAATTTCTTAATTTTTTCTCATCCTTTTTGATTTTGAAGTCATCTCGATTTGTAATTTTTACATTTAGTTTTTACGAGATAGCTTATACTACTTTAATATTGTTTCTAGTTGTTACATGATTTTACATTTTTGCTAAGGACTATAGTGTCAAAAGTATTTTTTAGCATTAGCTTTTAAACATTCCTCTTAATTATAAAATTTAAAAAATTTTGCAGCTCAATGCGCAAAATTCTTGACCACTTAGGTCTTTCTAATTTATGTTGTCTTGCTACTTTCGTATACATATATTCGGTTTCATAATAACCCTTTTAGGCGGCTAGAGCTAGTTAAATTTATTTAGATTAAATGTATATGACTCGTAGAGATATCAGCAGCGTTGTAGACGCTTTTCCACTTTTTTCCATCAAGTTAATAACACACCAATAGAATGTGAGAGAGGAAATAAAAAGAGTTATTGGGATTTTTTTTTTAATATCCAAACGGCCACTTGCTGCAGTTATTCAGAATTTTATTTTATCATTTTCATTTTCACTTTTCTTTTAAGCTTTGCACTGCGTCTTTTCAAAGCTTTACTGGAAATTCTTTGTTACTTGTGTATGTCTGTTATCTCTACTAGGAATCATTTTGCTGTCTAAGCGAAGTGTTTCATAGGCAGTGTTTTGTATGCGAGCTTTATCTTGAGTTTGATGTAAAAACATTCTACTTGAAACCTCTTAAAAATCTTTAAAATTTTTCCAAATTATCTTTGGGCTTTCCGACCTCGAGATATATAAGTTAATATCGATGAGCAATATGAATTCTTAAAGCGATACGGCATTCATCTTAATCGTCGTTTCGTATCTGAAGGAATAGTACTCGCTTCCTAAACCATGTAAGTAATTTCTTTTATAAATTTGCTTATTTCATTCATATTAGCTGAACTCTTTTCGTAAAGATGTCAAGCTGTTAGCTATTATATAAGGCTACTTTGTAGCATTTCATAGTTTCAGGTATACTGTTGAATTAAAACAAAGAGCCTTTAGCGTATACAAATTTCTCACATGAAATTTTGTACTTAAAATATAGAGTCATTAGGATATTTTTGAAAGCAGGAGAGATGAAAAATGAGCAACGCCTTCTCCGGGACTCGAACCACGGGCCTTCCGAATACGCAACGAGCGTGCTGACTACTACACTACGAAGGTATGCTACGAAGGCGTGAGAAATACCTTATATACTCCTCCTTTTAAAGGGCGACTGGCGATTAGGGGACCCAATCGCCAAATCCGGGTGGGGAGAACCATCATCCACCACCCTTTTAGCTCGGGCGCCACTGTAGAGTTATTAGGATATTTTTGTAAGCAGGAGAGATGAAAAATGAGCAACGCCTTCGCCGAACTCGAACTACGGGCCTCTTGAATACGCGCCGAGCGTGCTGACCACTACACTACGAAGGCATGCTAAGAAGGAGGGAGAAATATCTTATAAACGTACTAAAGGTTTTATGCTTTATTATTTGCTTGATGTTATTATACTTGGCATCACATTATGTGCGTTTCCAGTAAGCAGGACCGGCTACTTCTGTAAAAGAACGCAGATGCACACCTTTATAAAAAAACTGCCGGACTGTTGCAAGGCGGACGATCAGTTTTAAGCGAGAAATCGATCATCAGTCTGTACTTGCTCGCCTATGCCGCGGCACCCTTATAAAGATTTCTGTCTTTTCTAACAGTGACCATCTTGCGTAAGGGAGCGGACCGTTGTGGAAGGGCACCTTTATGAATCAGTGTCAGTGAAGGCATGGTAGAATACATGAGGATTGTGCAAAGTCAGTTTTTGAGCAGTCTATTATAGCTTAGATGAGAAGTCTGACAGTAAAATTTCTCAGAGTATGTAGTCTTGCCAGCAGTAAATCGTTATTATGGGGAGGCATGATAGCGTGGTACTTATCAAATAAGTCATTATTTTATAGAATAATTTACACTGAGCAATACATATCTATTTAAACATATTTATGAAGAATGTATTTATTTAAAATAAATTCGGAATATTTGATCTGTAAATAGCAATGATAAAAATGAATATTTTTTGGGAAAAAAAATTGTAAAATATGACGTATAACTTACAGAATCTCACCTTTTTAGGTAGCTTACACTAAATCGAGACTCTTGAAGTACTAAGCGAATTGCTGATATGTCTCGCAGGAAAACAGAGAATATAAGAAGGATGTAAAAGACACTTTTATTAAGAACTGAAATAATTAAACAGATGGCACTTATGCTAACAAAACGAGCCAGCATTAACGGCGTAACTCAGATAAAATTTCAAATTAAAACTAAGCTAACTCGCAAGAGATCCATTTGTATGTTGTCGTATTGTGACAATTTGTGTCATGATGCATCTTTCAGTAAATATTTAAGAAATTAATATCTTTACAAGGTGATGTAATTAAAAATATTAATAACAAAAGTATTTCCCATGGCCAAATTATAATAACGAAACCATACACCTACGATTAAAATTATGCTATAATTCAAAATATATTTCTTAACATAATTTAGTTTTTTACTGTTCTTGAGGTCACGGTTTGGTTCCCTCTTTTATCAGAGGATAAGTTTTACATAATATTTTTTTTTTTTTCGAGAATCAATTTTAGGGATTACGAAGCTTAGTTTTATGTTTTGTTTTATATTAGTGATTATTGCTAGAATAATAGATCATTTATTAAGTAAAATTTTCTGCAAAGTGTACATGTATAAAAATTTAAGCGTTGTATGACTTTACGAAAAGATTTTATATGATTAAAATAAAAGTTTATTTCAATTAACATGTTATTTCTTACGATGAATCCTTTTCTGCATCTTTACTGCTTCGTCATCTGCACCAAATAATTAAATTGAATTTAAAAAACAAGCAAAAATCTAGGTTTAGAACGACAGCTTTGGCAATTTAGGCCTGGAGCGCCGTAACACTCGTGACTCCGTCACGATCGGTACAGTGACGCTGGTTGTAATACCTGTGGGTCCGGTTTCGAATCCTGGTGAAGATATGGATGTTCGTATATGAACACTGTGCGGTATGGAACATTCAAAACACTTGCCTTGATGTTATGGCTGAGGGTTCTCTTCAGTAGTTTGTTGGTAGGGAAAGAGGAGTGAGAGACCTTCAAATCGTGTCCCGGCAAGTTTGTCATCAAAACTGGGGCAAAATTAGTGTGGTGAGATTACCTGCACGATTAATAGTGGAATTCTTGTGTCCTGTCTACCTGTGCCTGTAACACTAATTCTGCCTTTTGGAGTTCTGTACTCATTGTTGATCAATTAGTTTTCATTTTTCGTAGGTAATAAGGCTCATTAACCCGGAAGACAGGTTTAAGAGTTGATTTGTAATTAATTCAACTATTACTATATTTTCAGACAGCAAGCAGCAGGAATGAAACTTTTGTCAGTCTTTTTAGCCATAACATCAGGCTAGTTCAAATAAGTACTTTAGTTGCTTTTATACGATTGTTGTTATCAGCTTGTACTACATAGTCTAGGTTAGAAAGGATTAAAAGTCCCCTGGCAGTCTAGTAAGGTAACAAGTGAAATTATACTGTGATCTCGTGACACTCATTCTTTCCGCGCATTAACTGCTCATTTCTTTCCGCGCATGTGTGGCGTAAATATTATGTCAGTTCTGCTTATTTATATGGTCAAGGTAAAAGCACTCAAGAGTTGTAAGATCTAGTCCTCTTCGCTATCATAAAGTTAACATGATCTTACTGGAAAAACCTGGTGACTTCTCCCACAGGCTAATATTACCAGCACAGATGAAGAGTAAAACAAACCATTAATTATTCATCAAAATGTTAACAAAAATGCATGCCGTGCTTCTTGCTTAAAATAACATAGTCTACTTGCGATGGGAACTTAAGAATAGTTAAACAATAACCTCAAAGATGAGTAGTCGTGCTGGACTAACAATTTAAATTAAAGCTAACTAGGTTGACTCAATAACCTACCCTCCGCCAGACTTATTAATGGCCACAAGGAGCACCAGTAACTCAGATTAACAACAGCAAGGGCAAAATAGTAAGGTGAGCTGGCTAGTGAAATCCTGCTCTGAATAAACTCTCCAACTTCGACTCCGACTAACGCTGAGCGTCCCGATTAGCTTGCAGCGAGCAAGCTTCTGTCTGTCAACAGGTATGTTGCTTCGTAGAGCGCTTGAAGTGGAATGAATGCTTGAATGGGTGGTCCAGAATAACGACTTTCAGGGGGAGGGAGAATTGTAAAATAAACATCTAAAGACATCTAAAAATATACGCTGAAATATTAAATAAAGGCACCAAGTTAGGTTGAGAAATCTTGGTTTTCATTTTAGTAGGAAGGCTGCAAATGTTGTATAAGTCTATCTTCATTAAGAATGTCATAGTGAAAAATTCTGAAATGATTCATAAAAATCACAATTTCTGGAGTTATCAAAAAACTTTGTTAGTATTCCTAAGAAATGTTTTCATGGTGTCAGTCTTGAGGTCGGCATGGAGACTTCTAACGAGGTAGTGAGCATTCCTAATAATTCTCAGAAATCGATTTTGTATGACTACTAATTTTTGTATGACATTATCTGAGGCGGCCCCAGGCAGGGGATGCGTAGATCAAAATTGGTCTGACTATTAAAGACAGATTAGACGCTTTTGCTAAGATTGAGTGCTTGCCTACAATAAGCACTGGACATCTGATAACAGTAGAGTTATCACGAACGTGATCGATATGTTTTCAGTTCAATCGGTCATTAAGAATAACGCCGATATATATCTCACGGGAAACCGCAGGGCTCTGTTCACTAAATCAACACAAATTCTTCTTGAGTTGGTGATTACGTTTGCGTCTTCTGATGAGGAGCAGCTGGGACTTCTGTTCAGTAATAGAGATTTAATTGCACCACTGTTCAAATTTTGGCATGAAGTTTTGGAGATATTTCAAGGCATGGTTAACGTTAGCGGATTTTACTGACAAAGCAGTATCATTTGCATAACAGCTAGAATTGAGTTACAATTATCTTGAAACTTAGGCAAATCCACAGCGTAAAAGAGGTAGCTTACAGGGCCAATAACTGAAACCTCTGGGGTTCCACTAAGCATAGGCTTGGGTGAAGAAAAGGCATCAGTAACAAAAACCTTAAAGGTTCTGTTCATGATATAGGAAAAGATGATGAACATGATTAACTTTCGCTCCATTCCTAGGTCAACGAGTTTGGCGATAAATCTTCCATTCCAAACGCGGTTGAAAGTTTCGCCATGTCTAGCACGAAGATAGCAATATTTAATTCGTATCGAGAGCAGCACCTGCAAACTCAGTTAGTCTGAGGAGTTGCTTGGTTATGGAAAAGTTGAATAACTAATAGTTTCGTCTGTTTTTATACGCTCTTCACTTAACTTTAAATTTGTATCCTGGCGAGGAAATGCGAGGGGAAAATGAGAGGTTCAGGAAAGGTACCAAAAATAAAATAATTTGTTATGCAAACTAAGGGAAACCTTACAGGGTTATCGGCGCAGGCGGAAATATTTTGAGGAGAAATGTTAGCTTTAAAGTTTATAAAATATCCTTCGCAACTGTATCTTTATTTAGGCAAAAACCCTTCTCTACTTTTCATAATAATACCGATATCTGCCAAAAATATCGAAATATTTCATAACTGCAATTGTAACGATAAAAATGTAAAAGTCTTTTTTATCATCAGTAACTGAGAAATACGTATGAAGGTTTAAACCAGGATTTAAGTTTTCGTTTTAAATAAACGTACCATATGACATACCGTATGACTAAGCATGGCATTTTCATATGAATGAGATCTAAAATGATTTAAGGAAAGTATACTTTAATTTATTAATAAATATTCTTATTACAAAAGCACGTGCATTTTTTAGAAAGGAAACTGCAGATCTTAATAATAATTATGTGTTATTGTTTTACTCTATTGCAATCAATGCATCAATTTTATGACTAAGATAAATAATAAATTTAAATAGAAATATGAATGTTCGTTAAATTTAGTATGTATATCAATATCCTGTTGCAGTTAAAAATGTAAGAGCCTGGAATTTCAGTTATTAAATTTACTGCAAGAGATTTTAGATTTCTCTCGGTTTTTACGCTGACATCTTTAACTAATAAAGGCATTAATTTACAGACAACCGTAATGCAGAAATTTTAGGTTTCCAGGAGCGTGCCTTTATAGGAAGGCACATGCAATCTTCCAGAATTGTTTCAGGTCTATATGAAAAGGTCGAGAGGATAAGATCATTGAACAAAGTTAGATCTGGGTTCAAATCCTGAAGGAAGGGGCAGGCTGATTGTATGGAACTTTCGTGCTTTTCCAATGAGTACGTTAATACGAGCCAATTCCCCTTCAAAAGTCCTCAACAAATGCATCTCTTCTCTTAAGCAGATAATTACTATTGCGGAATTCTTAGTAAAGATTGGTTTATTTTTTAAAATTGAAAATTTTATTACTAATATTTACTTATTTGGTTAACATAAGCATATATTACATACATATTAAACTAAAAGTGCAATCAATTAAATTAAATATTATACATGTGGAGATCATCGACGACCGATGCTGACTTAGCGAATTACCAGCGTGGTGACGTCATCGCAGCCTACCTCAGTGCGGAGCAGACGAGACCAACAGGAGATAGCGTCCAGACGTGGTCGAGAGTGGAGAGTAGGAGATGTGAGCGAATGGCTTGCTTGTCTTCAAGAGTTGAAGAAGACAGACGGTCTTCTTTGGTGTTTAAGTGCCTTTAGCTGATCATACTATTTAAAGCTAGCTGTGGATTTTAACAGAATAACGTATTCTATCAATGCCTGTGGAACTATTAATGTGTGTGAATTTCTCATCATTACATGAATCCTGCAACATTAATTTTACTTACATTTTATTACTTTTATCTATTTCTTATTAATAAAATAAAAGCATTTAAAAATGCAATATTCGTGCTCTTTTTGAAAGTAAAACCTACGTACATATAAAAGTAAGAATTTAAATTCCTGCTGTGGAGGGATATTCAGCGAAACAGGGTAATATATACAATGGAACTTTGCAAATCGAACACCAGTAACACGATTCCTTTCTGATCTTACATTTGTAGCAATGCGAACACCTTCGCGTAGGGGTTTTTTTTTTTTTTTTTTTTTTTTTTTTTTTTTTTTTGATATTCCAGGTGTATAATCCGGAACATGATTCACGACTAATTGGCCTAATATTAGGTCTAAATGGCTGAGTTTGTGTCGATTTATTTCTTTCAAATGGATACGTCGCAAAAGTGTCTTCAATAAATTTGAGCAAAAAGCTGATACGCGATAGTGTTCCATTATTTTTTTATATAATACGAATGCATTCAGACACATAATGTCTAAGAAATGGAGAAATATCTTTTTGTAGTACTTTTTTTGAGTCCAATCTTTTTGCTCCAATCTAATATATCCAAATATAATCCTAAAGTCATTTAATATTTTGTGCATTAGAAGCAGCAATATAAAACTTTTCTTTATTTTACTTCGTCGCCAGAGTAGCTGGACAGCTTGGGGACGGGGTTTATCAGCCTGTTGATTAGCGACTTGCATCTTTAACCAGTTAACTATGATTGACGAGAATACTCGTTATGCGTATAAAGCAGTGTAAGCAACGTAATAGAAAAAAAAAATAATAACAAAGAAACCGGTGCTAGTGATTGATTATAATAAAAAAATGGGTGGAGTGGATATGAGCGATGGAAAACAGCATAGCGTACTCCACAACAAGAAAACAACTCAAAAAGTACTACAAAAAGATATTTCTCCATTATGTGTCTGAATGCATTCATATTATATAAAAAAATAATGGAACACTATCGCGTATCAGCTTTCTGCTCAAATTTATTGAAGACACTTTTGCGACGTATCCATTTGAAAGAAATATATCGACACAAACTCGGCCATTTAGACCTAATATAAGCCAATTAGGTGGGAATCTACACGAAGGTGAATCGCATTGCTACAAACAATCAGGAAGGAATCGCGTTACTGGTCTTCGATTTGCAAAGTTCCCATTGTGTATAGTACCCTCTTTCGCTGAATATCCACTCCACAGCAGGAATTTAAATTCTTACTTTTATACGTATAATATTTAATTCAATTGATTTCGTTTTTAGTTTTATATGTATGTAATATATGCTTATGTTAACCAAATAAGTAAATATAAGTAATAACATTTTTAATTTTATAAAATAAATCCATCTTTTTCATTCAATATCTTATCAGCGCAACTTACTCTGTGATGGACGAATATATTCGTCATGGCTCGATTCTGGCGACACAAAACGGTGCGCACTCTTAAACGAGAGCGCCACAGTTAACTGGTTAAGAAAATTATTGATAAAAGGCCCACTTTTCGAACAGGTTTTTTTTTCACCGATACATATTAAATACAGAGTTTATATATAAATATGTTGATATATTTATTTTTTCACAGGATAAAGCACTATTGCAGAATTCTTTTAGCTTTTTTGGCAGTGGTCTATGGCGAGGACAACAGGAACACCACGTTCACGTGTGGACAAAAGGAAAAGTCGTATTCATATTTAGACTTAGCAACAGAGATGATTTTAAAAGCGAAGGAGAATTATCCCAATTGTAAGTGTGTCGTACCACTTGATGTTGATAATAATAATAATGAAAAACATTTATTATTGTAGTTAATCTGAGCTGAATGTAATCGGGCACTACTGAAAACTACTACTTACAGAAGCATAAAAAAAAATTTTTTTTGAACCTATAGCAAAACGTATTCAATTTTAACTATTTTGTTTACAGATTGTAATTATTATGTAAAATTTTAAATTAGGTAAGAAAGACGCGTAGGGATGGTGCAGATTTTGAATAAATTCCTAACGACTTCGAGAGCTATCTGACATGTTCTTCTTAGGCGCAGACACTTTTACTTCTAAACAGTCTTTCACGCTGTGTGAATACTGCCTGAGATAACCTTTTTCGAACTTAGCAGTCACTCTTTTACATTTACAAATGTAAAAATTTGATTTTAGTTTATCAGGTTCAATGTTCCTTCTAACCTTCTTCGGGAACATGCAAGGACCTGACTCGGAACAGAGAGCTTACTAAAGCTATGTTCAAAACTGTGGGAAGTAAACAGGATACACAAGAAGGGTATACAAAACCCTTTATTTTTCTATTTACAATGACTTCCGTACTTCGGAATACACCGACCCGCTACTTGGGGTCAACACGTAAAAGTATAAAAATAAAACTAAACTCTAATTTAACTTTAGAATAATAACGTGGAAGATTGGCCTTATATTAACAGGAAGGCGTATGTAGTACAGATAACTGAGAACACTACAATACGTTTAAATTTATCAAGAGGATTAAAACCTCTGGCCTGGAAGGCAACAAGCAACTGCGTAACTTCTAAGGTGAGCGGCCTGCTTCGAACTCACTGCTTCCTCTCTCTCTCTTGGCAAAAAGCCACAACTTAAATACTTGGCGTTCGCCAGACAACTTTGCATAAAAACCTTAACGCTTATAATTCTGGCCGGAAGTAGAAAATAAGAAGTGATAGTAAAGATTTAAAATAAAATAAACGTTAGTAAAACTTAAGATCCTTACATACTTCCCGCCAGAGTTAATTAGTTTGAAACTGAGGTCTAAAACGACCTTGTTGAAAACTTTTTAGCTCTAGAATCTAACGCGAGGCCAATCTTTTACAAACAACTTAACGCGAGGCCAATCTTTTACAAAACATACTTCGCTAGAAACTAGAAATTTAAAAGAAAGAAATTTGGGTGTGTTTTTTTTTTTATTTATTTTTATTTACAATAGCATCTCCCAGGATATACAACAATTTTTTTTCATCTGTACTGCATCTAAACAGGAGCTTTTATTCAATTCTGGTTCCTTCCAGAGATCTGGAAGGAAAACTAGTTTAATGAAATGTTACACAATGAAATGGCAAGTAACATATACAATTATACTTCTCTTAACATTCTTATTTCATTCATGACTATTTTAATTATGTCTCCCCGTGCTCTCTGACATGTGTTGTAAAAGAACACCAAAACACGAATGTGTTTCTGTCTACGTGGTTCCACACTTCCTCCTACAATCAAAAAACCTAACGTGTTAAAAATTCAACATAACAAGACCTCTTAACACACCCTAATTTCAACTCTAAACCCTGAGGGTACTATTCTAAAAGTGGCTAACTCTAAAGTGTAGCGTCAGAGAGCCTAACTACATCATTCAACCTTTAACACATATTCGCCATGCTTTAGTCTTTTTACAGTCACACGAATAAAAAATTTTAACATTCACTTTTACCATATCACGGTATTTCTTAACATTTAAAATAACAGTTCACATTGTCTATAAGAATATTAACATGCCGTTACTTTTACACATTTGAAAACATACATTAGTAGTACATTGTTAACTTCTATTCTTTCAAAGCAAGTGCCAATTCTTTCTACATGAAATACTACATTTCAAAAAGTCTTTCAGACTAAAACTTCTTTCTTGCTAGAATGTTTTAAATAAAATTTATACAATAACTTTTTACAATATTTAAGTCTTTACACAACGCTATTATACATCAACTTTAGTTTTTACGCGCTAGTAATTGAAAAACATAATATCAAAATCGGTAACAACTGATTTCTCGCCCTTTCGGCGATAAAGGTAGACCTCGCATGAGGTAAAACTTCTTGAAATCTGCCACTTGCAGTAAGAATGAAAGATTAACTTAAGTTTGCAAAGTAACATAAAATTTTACTTATCTTTGTGATATTCGGACATCCTTTTCTGGGCCCAGTCTTTAAAGGTATTGCAGATAGTTGTGTGATTTATCCTCCTTCTTGTACGGGCTCGCCCTTCAGTGCCTTCCTCTGGAAGCTTCCTTTTTCACCAGTTCGGTCACCCTTGAATACCTTCTTTTTCTCCTCTGCTTGTGGTCTTGGCCGTTTCATGGCAGCTGGTCTTGGCGGAACCGGGAAACTTCTGTCGTGTTCCTGCTTGGACCTCGTTGCTGGCCGTTCAAATTTTCCTTGTACTTTTTCCTCCGCGGCTGATGGCCCTTCCGCAGTTCGGCGACTTTTGCTGCGGAGAGTTCTGTCGGATGAGTAGATCTTCCGTTTTAGAGCCGGGTTGTAGTTGCCGTCATTTCTCCTGGTTCTCTTCACATACGTCGTCCTTCTCCCTTCTTCATTCTGGGGGTGTTCGTGAACTCTCTTTTCTGGACGGTGGTGGAACGGCTTCTTTTCTTGCTCCCTTCAATTTTTCCGCGGGGAAATTTTCTTTTTACTTGCTCCTGCCTCTTACTGGCTTGCCCTTGTACTTGTCGTTTTTCCATCTCTGGAGCTTGTGCCTGCGGTGTCTGCCGTGCCGGATCCTGCAAAAGATCTGAAAATATTTGCATTTTATTACGATCGAAGTAGGGCTTGATTTGATCAATGTTTGCGGAGCAGGTTTCGCCATTTCTGGCTTTTAACACTACTACAGCGTGAGTTATTTTTTCTATAACATATGGTCCTTCAAATCGTGGAAAAAATTTGGCAGTCTTATCTTCTGGTGCTGAAGAAAGTGAATGCTTAATTTTTAAAACTTCATCCCCTACTTTATAAGTTACTCCCCGTCGTTTCAAATCATAATATAGCTTCTGTTTTCTTTGTGCTACTTGCGTATTCTTCTTTGCTTCCTTAATTAGTTTTTCTATATCACCCATTTTAAATTTTGGGGCTCTTTGTTGCACATAAAATAATTTATCTAACGGTGTTATAATCTTTCTGCCTAGAAATAACTCAGCAGGAGTTTTGCCCGTTGTATCATGTTTTGCGGTCCTAAGGGCGAAAGCAAATTCATTGACATAGTTATCCCAGCTTTTATGAAAATTTTTAACATAACTATGGATAATTTCACTATATTTCTATTGACCCGTTCCGCTATATTTGATTGCGGCCGATACGGGACCATTTTAATGGACGTATGCCCAGTTTTTGGCACATGTCTTCAAATATATTACTTACAAATTGAGGACCATTATCCGATATAACTTTTAGGGGCGCCCCGTATTTTAAATATATTTATTTAAATAGAAGCAGTAACTAATTTCGCGGAGGCTCGTTTTAAGGGAACAATTTCGGTCCATTACTAAAATGATCAACCATAACAAGGAGATAGCGACTTTTATTTAAACTGACTTTTTGGGAAAGGGCCCAATAAATCGATGCCAAATTATTTCATTTGGAAATTCGGATTTAATACTATTTAGAAACCCGGCCGGGCGGAAATTAATGTAATTAACTGCTTGACATGTTGGGCAGGACTGGACATACGCCCTTGTTAACTTTTGCAGTTCAAGGAAAATAGACTGCCTCGCGTACGCGTTGTATAGTTTTTCGAATACCAGCATGAGAAGCTAAAGGGCTGTCATGCAACTCCTGTAGGATATTTAATCTAAGACTACCTGGGATAACAGGTCGAAATTCGTTGTTGGAATTCGTAGTTTTTGTATAAAATAATAGACCATCTATTAGTTCGTAATGGGCCGCCCTATTTCTTATCGCCACAATATCTTGGTGGCTAAAATTTTCAGGATCCTTCAAATACTCATAAATGCTTCCAAACTCAGGATCCTTACCCAGTTCAGTTATTACAGTTTCTCTGGAATTTATTGTACATGCTGTGAGCATTGCACCTTTACGGTATTCCCTTGTCATCTATTTTAATTCTTGATAGGGCATCTGCTACGATTTTTCCTTTCCGGGGGAATGCTTGATTACCAGATTATATTCTTGCAGCTTGAGTGCCCATCTTACTAACCTTGGGGATAAATTTTTCATGAGTACAATCTAGTTACCGCCGCATGATCAGAGTACACTGTTATCGGCGCCTTTCCAAAATAGACTCGGAACTTTGCACTGCTAACAGAACTGCAAGTGCCTCTCTCTCGGTCGCGGAATAGTTCTTTGTGTTTGATTTAAAGTTCGACTAAAAAATGCCACGGGCTGCTGATTTTGCGAAAGTACCGCTCCTACCGCATAATCCGAAGCATCCGCTGAAATTCTAAATTCTCATCCTTTTCAGGAAATTTCAACACAGGGGCTTGCGTTAATGCTTGTTTTAATTTTCGAAAGCACTATTGGCTTCGGCCGTCCACGAGAATCTTGCCTTTTTCCTTTTAATTTTAGCAATGGTTCAGCAATAGTTGCAAAATTTTTATAAAGGACCTATAATATGAAGAAAGTCACTAGAAAAGAAGACCGCTTCTTCGCCGTATTTGGCGGCAGATACTTTTGTACAGCGATTATTTTTGATTCATCTGTCCGACTCGATTCCTTTCTGAGATATTTTGTATCCCAAGTATTTTAATTCAGGAGGCTGCAAATTTATACTTTTCGACATTAACTTTTAAGACCTGGCCTCATTTAATAAATGAAAACATCTCTCTCAAATCTTTTATATTGTTAATCCAAATTATCAACTAGTAATAATGATATCGTGTAAAGTATATAAGTGTGGTCTTTTCTAGAACAGGACTTTGCACAATGTCCATGCATCGCTGAAATGTTGCCGGTGTTCCAGAAAGGCCAAACGGCATACGGAAGAATGCCATATGTGCCAGA